AGAAGAAGGTCGAGAGGGTAAGAAGAATAGAAGAAGAAGAAGAAGTAGAAGAAGAAGAAGAAGAAGAAGGAGAAGAAGTAGAAGAAGAAGAAGTCGAGGTAGAAGAAGAAGAAGTCGAGGTAGAAGAAGAAGAAGAAGAAGAAGAAGAAGAAGAAGAAGAAGAAGAAGAAGAAGGAGAAGAAGTAGAGGTAGAAGAAGAAGAAGTAGAGGTAGAAGAAGTAGAGGTAGAAAAAGAAGAGGTAGAAGAAGAAGTAGTAGAAGAAATATGCTAACGCTACAAACAGGCACAACACTGTTACTCTGTTTTTACTGACATGTAACATTTTATTTCACCTTGCTCTATGTTTTTTAACGCACATTCAAAAACGGGAACATTTTCGGGAGTTTCAACCGGGTACCGGCCACCGAAAACGGGGACTTTGCCCGGAAAACGGGCACGTTTTGGTCACCCATCCGACTGTGTTTACATCCAAGCACACACGCTAACATTAATTAAGACTACAAGCTCACTTGGGGTTGAGGCTTTTTTACACGTTGCTTGACTGCCTGCCCACATATATCTGATCTAGACATAGTAACGGGTGTTGGGGAAAATAATTATTTAAAGTTATTTAATAATTGTGACATTTATTTTACTTTTTCGATGGATGAATGATGCTCAAAGTGAGGGGGCAAGTAAGACAACTGAGGGGGCAATGCCCCCTTTTGCCCACTCGTGGCGCCGGGCCCGGTCTCGACCCCCCAGCTAAATTGAAAATCATGTTTTCAGAATGTTGTCATCCACTTGGTTCCAAAGTTCAGTTCTTTAACATCCCTAACAGAGCATCTGAATGTGTTCACTCACCTGAATGAAGCTTCATAATCTGGCTACAGTCCAGTGTTTCTGAGAGGTCGGTGTTAGGCTTGGGGTCAAAGGTCACATGTTCAGGGCTTCCTCTGCTGGGGGGCTCTGTCTCTACAGGGCCCTGCTTCAGAGGGTCCAGAGTGTTAAAGCTGCACGCCCACTGGCTGACGGGCTCCGCAGGGCGGCCAATCAGAACACCCAGGGAAGGGTCTGACCTCCGTCCCTGGAGGACCTTTTGTGTCTCTTCTATCCCACGATGCAACAGGCGGTAGTAGAGATGCCCTTGGTCACGCACGCACATGTCTGTCTCCTCCTCTGGAAAACACAACGGGTGTCGGCAATGTCATATCCATATCCACACACACACACACACACACACACACACACACACACACACACACACACACACACACACACACACACACACACACACACACACACACACACACACACACACACACACACACACACACACACACACACACACACACACACACACACACACACACACACACACACACACACACACACACACACACACACACACACACACACACACACACACACACACACACACACGCACACCTATGCAGTAGTGCAGCAGTCTTCCCAGCATGTCTTGCGTCTCAGCAGGCCGGCACAGAAACAGCCTCATGGTGGTGGTCAGCAGCTCCATCTTGACTCCCACAGACGTCTCGCTCCTCACTCCATCAATGAACACCTCCAGCGTGTATGGGGCGCTGGAGACCCGCTCCCCATACACAGCCAGCAGCCACAGCAAGGCCTGCCTGCCCTGAGGGAGGAGAAGGAGGAGAGGGTTCAGGTTGTGGGAGTCTAGGAAGGTTCCTAACCGAGGGAAATGACGTGAAGTGTCAGCCATGATAAGAGCTGTTTGAATTCTCTAGAGATGATAGCAAAGGAGCTTTAGTGCATTCCAAGTTATTTCATTTAGGATACACTGGAGCGTCCTTTACGAAAGGAAAGGAGATAACATTACTTTAATTAATGTAAATTATATATAAAGTCAAAATGTAGGTGTTTGGTGTTCTTAAGCTATTTTTATTGAATTAACTAATTTGAATGGCTGTATGCAGAGTGGTAGAAGTGAAGGCCTAATATGAAAAAACAAAACATACAAAAATATACACTATACTATATTGCATAACTACAAATAGTTCCCTACAATCATACTTATTGGGATTAATGTTGATTATTGGAGTGGACAGGAGGATGAGCGTGGGCACCATTTCCTTTCACGTTCTTTGTTAAATTATATTTAAACCTTGGTAATAAAGTAATTTCTCGCTGTTAAAAGAAAATGGTAGTTTTCGCACAGTAGTCGCACATCACTGACACTGTTCATCATAATGACGTCTCACTGTCGGTGCAGTCTCTTTTTCCTATGGTCTGATGAATTCTCCTTCTCATCTTTCCTTAACCCTGTGACTTTTTTAAGGTTAAGGAAGAGTGGTTAGGCAAAGACAAAGGATTGGATTTTGACAACTGGACCCAACCTCAGACTATATTTGGAGGCCCTGGACCACCAGAGATGTTTCCTGTTATCCGTGCTCAGGTTTGAAGGCTCCCTGTGTGACGCAGGTGAAGTTATCCACTGTCAAGCCGATGGTTTCACCCTGCTGTTTTATTTATGTAAATAATATGGGTTACAATTTCTTTGAAGCATATTATGCATTCATCCTCGTTATTAGGCCGTGTAACAACACATTATGTTAAACCAGATCAAATTGAAAAATCTTTCACTTCATTATGTCATAACGCCCTCACTGTGCAATAGATTCCCCCACATTTCATAATAAATAAATATATATTGCAGTGGTTATATCAAGAAGCCGGAGTATCTTTTAGACAACAAAAAAAAGAAAAATATAACTATAAATTCATTGAACTATATTACAACCAGGTTAGGGCCAGGTAGGCCTGTCACGATAATATTGTAGGCAACGTAGGACCATTTTAGACCACCATTATTAATGATAATATATAATAATAATTAAAGTACATCCTTTCAAACATAACTTTTTATTCAACATTCAACATTGCAAATGATATGTGAAATTAAATTCAAATATATAAATTATATATAATAAATAAAACAAATAAATAAAATTATAAAAAATTAATTAAAATCACACACAACCAAAACAATCAATTGAATAGACTATCTATCTATCAATAAATAAATAAATATATATAAATATATATATATATAAATAAATAAATATCATATCATATCATATCCAAATCTGTATTTCAAAGATTTCGAGCAAGGAACACCAACATGTTTGCATTGTCGGGCAAATGCATCTTTGATTGCAAACTGTCGGGAAGGTGGGGGCTCTCCATCTCCAGCTGCCGTGTTTGCTCCCAGCTGGGAAAACGGAATGGGTAGGTTGTGTTTCAGATGCAGTTTAAGGTTGGTCGTATTGCTAGCTTTTGTTGCTACCTTTTTAAAACAAATGCGACATACCGGCTCATTCAATTCCGTAGGTTCGCCTCGTTGATTTGGCTTAAATCCAAAATATTCCCACACTGGAGATGTGGAATTAGGTTTTGCAACCACTTCCATTTAACTTCAAATTCCCCTCGAGTAAGTCACACGTTGTCTCCTGCTTGTCTCTATATTATTCATTTGGCTGCTACACTGTTGCACGCGGAGTGTCCTGACCTGGCTGTGTGTGAGCCCCGCCCCTCACGGCGAGCCTGGCTAAAATGCTGGTCACATTCTTATGTAAACAAACACGCATGTAAACTGCAATTTATCGAGGTCAGAAAAGTTATCGAGTTCATTTTTATTTATCGTACGATAAGTCAATTAATTGCTTATCGCAACAGCCCTAGGGCCAGGTAATTAAAATATAACAGGATTTATTTTATGTCATTTGTCTGACACACCTTAGTTTGGTTATTCTTTTGAAAATGGGTCAGAAAGTCCATGCAGTTAAACCAAACAGTAGCAAGGCTAGTGATAGTGGTGGTGTAGAAAATCTAATATATTTTACTTAAGTCATATTAACATATAAGCTTAAAGGTAGCCAAACATGCTTGACAAACATAAAAAACAACAAACTAATATACTGGTTTTAGCTTTCAACAGGCAGCATCGATGCCGTGTGACTAACCATGCCCTTTAAAACTCCCAAGCCCTGGGCCCAGTCTCTCATAATTCCACCAATTATGAAATTCAATACTAACAAAGCAGTACAACAGTTGCTTTTTACGTGTGGCGTCACCATATCTGGACAAAGGTGATTGATAATTAAACTTAAACCCATAGAAATACCCCGTCCCAGCATTGCTTCTGCAGAGCATGTGTCAGATTTATCCTCTCACTCCCTTTACCTTTCTCTTTACAGCCGTCCAGACTGGATTACTATTGAAAGGACACTTTGTTTGTTTTCCATTTACAGAGGCAGGGCTGTGCACAAACACCCGACAGCTAGCGGGCCATGAGGAGAGATCAGCTGATGTGACAACAGGTGTATTGTGTTAGCATCGCTGAAATAGACCAATCACCACAATGACGACTTATACTTTTGGTACTTTAAGTATACATTGATGGTATTACTTTTGTACTTTTACTTGAGTAACATTTTGATTGCAGGGCTTTTACTTGTAACAGAGTATTCCTACACTCTGGTAGTTCTGCTTTGACTCAAGTACAAGATCTGAGTACTTCTCCCACCCCTGATTAGGGTATAGGTTGCATGCAAATGAACTGAGTAAGAAAAGCTGAAATGAAGACAAAACTGCCCATGTACCAGGGCTCAGTCCCTGCTGTGGCCAAGGCAGGGTCTTTCCAAAATCTGTTCTGGGACCAGTCAGCTACGTTTCTGTGTGATGACGCAGGTGTTTTTACTCTCTCTCTTCAACCCAGAAGAATGTGATTTACCACAGGAGCCACAAGAAGGGTATAGCGGGGAGATAGACATACAGACTAGTTTATATCTAAAAAGCAATTATTAGAAAACCCAAATAAAGCGATAAGCCTATGATGAATAAACACAATGTCTGTTTACAATAACCTCAAGGAGTTTGGATAGGGTGGTTTTTGTTTTGAATTGAACTTGACCATCGATGACGTATATAAATGATTACAGACTGAGAATGCCGAACATAAGCTTTATCCAACTGAGGCTCATTAAAGCAGTGACAAGAGCTCAAACTAAACACCAGCTCTCCAACACATCGTACGTGATAGTTTAAGGGGCGGGACATCTCTAAGCGAATGACCAATCACAACAGAGCCGGCCAGCTAACCGATCAGAGCAGACTGGGCTCTGGTTTCAGACAGAGGGTGAAAAGAGGTGCTGCAGCACAGGCAGTATGAGAAAAATAAAGAGCTTTTTGAACATTAAAGCATGGAGACATGTCCCAGGAGAGGCCTAAATACAAACCTTTAAGAACATAGATTTTCATGGCCTTTTACCTTTAATATATGTGTTAAAATCACACTCTAAAAAGAAAGTATTATGCATAATAAGATATTCTACTTTTGATTCTTTGAATACCTTTTACTACATTTTGATTGTAGGACTGGTAGTGTTTTAACTTTTTGGTTTTACTACTTCCCTTAGCTAATGGATGTGAATCTTTCATTAAATGGTAGCATGCCAGGTGGGTCTGACCTGACTGTCCTGCAGCGTGTCCTCGCAGCCCTCCAGAGCCTCACACACCGTGTCGCTGCACTGAGGACACACCCACACCAGGTCTCGCATGGTCTGCACCACGGCTGCCAGAGACACAGGGACACACAGAGGGACAGTTTGTCTAGGAACTGGAATTACCACTTGTGGTTGAATGCTGCTGTCCGGTTGAAACCATGTCTATCAAATATGTCATCACTTTATATATATACTATTAGACATTTGTGTACAATTGTAATAATTAGCATATTAATTATTGAGCAATGGCTAAAAACTAAAAACAATTTGAGTGATCAACAAAATCTAATCAGTGGCCAAATTCAAAGAAATCCCCTGAAAGATTTCCTGTTCATGAGAGCAGTGGTGGAAGAAGTACTTAAATACTTTACTTAAGTAAAAGTAGAAATACTTCGGTCTGAAAATACTTCATTACAGGTAAAAGTCCTGAATTCAAAATTTTACTTGAGTAGAAGTATAGAAGTATTGACAGCTAAAAGTATCAAAAGTAAAACCTATTATAGAATATTAAATGATTCCTTCCTTCTTTTAATTGCTTACAAATACATGTACAAACAATTCAACATCATTTTGTATGTATTTTGTAGTAACGTACTGCGTTATAATCATATACAAATGTCATGTGTTTTTTTTATGGAAACAGTAGCTGGAAACTATTAGTGTTAAATAAATGTAGTGGAGTAAACAGTACAATAAATGTTTCAAAATGTAAGGGAGTAAAAGTATAAAGAAGCATTACATGGAAATACTCAAATAAAGTACTAAAAAATAGTACTTAAGTACAATACTTGAGTAAATGTAATTTGTTACTTCCGAACAGTGTAAGAGAGTGGGACGGACATATGATGAATGCAGCAGCACAATGACTGGAAGTGAGGTTTGTGTGTGTGTGTGTGTGTGTGTGTGTGTGTGTGTGTGTGTGTGTGTGTGTGTGTGTGTGTGTGTGTGTGTGTGTGTGTGTGTGTTTTACCAGAAGTGATGTGTTCCTGTTTGAGCCCCAGCAGTCCAGTGAGGATCTCCAGACATCTGTCGCTGTAGCTCCGCCCAATTCCACCTGCACCCAGTTCAGACAGGAAGTCACAGGAGGGGAGGGGGAACCTGAACATTAGAAACTCTGTCCCACACAATGAGAAGTTTGAAATATTGCTCAGCTCGTTTCTCTGGCTGGATTTTTAGATTAGGTTCAAATGTTTTGTCATTTCACATAGTACAACAAAATGCAGTTTGCATCCAGGTTACAGTATATTCACATATTACTAGTGGTGTAAGAAGTACTCAGGTATTCTACTTAAAGGTAGGGTAGGTAAGTTTGAGAAACCGGCTCGAGATCGCTAGAATTTGAAAATACACAACCGGAGAAAATCTGCCACTTCCTTACAGAGCCCCTCCTCCAACACACACGAACGCGCACATGACCAATGAGGGCACAGATAAGTTTGTGCACAGATGGAAGGCTGACAGGCAGGTAGGCCATCCAGTTATTTTAGCTGGGCCGGCTAAAAAGATTGGTCGTGCTTTTTACAGTACTACGGCTTCCACAGATGACATCTTTTTATGGATTTTTTGTCAAAGCACTTAAAGGGCCCATGTCATGGCCATTTCCACTGATCATAATTACATTGTTGAGGTATACTAAAATAGATTTATACTGTGCAATTTTCCAAACTCACATTGGTTTCGCATACAGCATCTCTGTCAAGCATGTGTATTCAGCAGTATTCACTTTCTCCACTAAACGACTCGTTGGAGCTCTTGCCCCCCCCCTCCCTGTGAGCCTAGTGTGCTCCGATTGGTCAGCTCGGCCACTCTGTTCTGATTAGTCAACCACCAGAGAGGCTGCGCCCATGTCTAACAGTGCTTTTCCCGGCTGCTATCAGTCTTATCATGGCGTCGGTACAGCCGTATATTTTATATACATATATATTTTTAACTGTTGTTATAGAAGAGTGTGACGGCCCCAGGGCCTTTGTCTTACGATGGGGTGGAGCTGAAGAGGCTAATCAGCACGATCACGGACACCTCCGGAGCCGAGGTGCTATTAAGCCCAGCTGCCCGGAGTCACACGACGGCCCCTGTCTCTCTCCAAAGCGGCTGCAGGAAGACTAACTCTGCGATCCTCTCAACCACCTATCTCTGCATTTACCACAATAAATGTGCCGTGGTTTTGTAAACTCGTGTATGTCTCCTTGCCTTTCCGTTGTGGCCTACGAGCCGCTCATAACAAAGAGTAAGTTATGTTTACCCGTTATAAACTACTACTGTTTGATGAGAAATCAAATCATGGTTTGCTATATATGAATTCAGGGAAGAAAGGATAGGCCTACTAAGTATTTCCATTAAACTTTATTTTTAGAAATGTACAAAATGAACATAAATATACATATATACACACGGTATATCATCCATTCCTCCTCGCATCTTGCCTGCGCACAGCCGGTGCGGTGCCTTTTAGCACGAGGCCTCAGTAGTAGTAGAAGTCCCGTCCCCGTCATGGATTGTCCGCCAGGATCTGGCTGGACGAAATCAAATGCAAATCACAAAATATTAGAGAAACTTAGTTGTTTTAGATTCGTTAGTAGTAGTTGTGTAATGAACAGCTTGCCTGCTAATATGCTAACCTAGCTTTGTTTACCTTGGTAGCTAACACGATATGAACGTTAGCTTGGAGGAAAGGCAACTATAATGTAGTGTAATAAAACTACTATGAACAAAAGCTAGTGGTTCATATTAGGCTAGCAATAACGTGTTTATAATTGCAATCGTATACGGGTATTCTGCTACCATACAATGTAACTTGCATGAATACATTGTTTTGCGCTAGCATACAGCTAGCCTCGTTAGCTACATGCAGTATATGTACTGTCACAATGTACGGTAAATCACCCGGAGTATACTGTATGAGTATTCTGTGTGTGTGACTGCAGACATTCTCCTGCCATGACAAACATGTAAGGCCATCTGCTGACATTGTAGTTGATATATTTAAACGCTAGCAACGTAGCATCACAAAAATGTTTTTCCGACCAAACCTAGCTTAGCTCCGTGTGTTAGATCGGTTGCATACACGCTACGCCAGCTATAATGTAATTACGTTTCGCGACTGACCGCACGGCAAATCACCCGGAGTATACTGTCAATAGGTATTTTGTGTGTGAATGCAGACATTCTCCTGCTATGAGATACATGTATGCAAGGCCATCTGCTGATATTAGAGTTGATATATGGAAACTCTAGCAACTTAGTTAGCACAGTTAGCACTGTGTCAATGGCTTAGCAGTCCAACACAGTTTACACATTTAAACAGTCTTGTTTGATAAATACACAAATAACAATGCAAACTTACAGGTTGTATACCCGGATCTTCCCCTGCTCCAAACGGTCCAAACAAGCTGTGCATATCCGGCCTCAAACTGGGCAATGTTTTGGAAGCTTTCGTCTGTGAAATGCCGGTTCTTCGAACCTCTGGAGGAGGAACACGCCGCTGCTGGTGTGGCCATAGCTCTTCGGGATTGGTCCATTTCGTTCCGGGTACCGCATGACATCAGGCGGTACCCGGAAGAATCAAATGGGCAGTGACGTATCTCCAACGAGGCGTTTTGGGGAGGTATTTTCTGTGTTAGAGTTTTACTCGCTACAGGGTGTACTTTGAGGGTTTTGACTCTGCACACCGTTTACATGCATAAAAACCTTCATAACACACAAGGGGACGGGTAATAACCGGAAAAGCATGACATGGGAGCTTTAAGATATTCATTGCTATTGGGATGTTAAGAGCATTCCATGGAATATAACAAAAAGTGTATCTCGAGCCGGTTTCTCAAACTTACCTACCCCACCTTTAAGTTAAAGTAGAAATCCTACAGTGTAAAAATACTACAAGTAAAAGTCCTGCATTAAAAACTTTCTTTTGCAAATGTACTAAAGTATTGGCATCAATATATACTTTGAGTACCAAAAGCAAAAGGTCTTATGAGTAATAACTCAATTCAGAATCATTTGGATTACATTTTTATTTTGGACGTATTCATATTTTCATCACAGCTGGTAAAGGTTGAGCTCCTTTTAATACCTGTATATATACTGCTGCTGGATATCTTAACCTATAATTATATATCATAGTTCTTTATTAGTTTATTTATATTCTGTTTTAGCCAATAATCTTATTCTTATAAGTAATTAGTAACTCATTTTGTCAAATAAATGTAGTGGCGTAAAGTACAATATTGGCTTCTAAATTGTAGTGGAATAGAAATATAAAGTAGCATTAAAGAAATACTGAAGTAAAGTACACCAAAATCGTACTTACGTGTACAGTACTTGAGTAAATGTACTACACTACATTACACCAATAAATACTAGGTTACAGTAGAAAAGTTGTTGCAAATGTGAGAAATGGTACAGAGTTTGCATAAATATGGAATACATATTTTCAGAGGGGTTTAGGCATGTATACATTGTATACATTTGAAATAGAGATGTATTAAATGTGCACATAGCAGTGTAATGTGAGTGTGAGGCGCTGTGGGTAGAAAAACGAAAGAGTGCTAACTGAAGATCCAGACGTCAGAGTACTTAAAGGTGGGGTAGCTAATTTTGGAGAAACCAGCTCGAGTGCGCTAGAATTTGAAAATACAAAACCGGAAAAAAATCTGCCACTTCCTTACAGAGCCCCTCCTCCAACACACACGAACGCGCACATGACCAATGAGGGCACAGATAAGTTTGTGCACAGATGGAAGGCTGACAGGCAGGTAGGCCATCCAGTTATTTTAGCTGGGCCGGCTAAAAAGATTGGTCGTGCTTTTTACAGTACTACGGCTTCCACAGATGACATTTGTTTATGTATTTATTGTCAAAGCATTTAATATATTCATTGCTATCGGGATGTTAAGAGCATTCCATGGAATATAACAAAAAGTGTTTCTGAAGTGAATTACCTACCCCACCTTTAAATCCTTTATCAGATTAGAAATACAGTATAGTTAGAAGGTGTGGCTTTGAGCTGGATAAAAAACACTGCCCAACGTACTAACACTGAGTCCTTACTGCAGGGACACTTTTCACTGGGTTTGTCTATTGTTGAAAATATTTTGGATAATGTTCTCAATAACATTTTTAAAATAGGTCTGGCCAACGCTTTTATGTGGAAATATAATGACTAATCTATAATCTATATAAATAATGACTATGTTTTTAGAATCCTTAAAAAAGGCTCGTTTAACAATAGCAGACAGTCTTTAATCTGTGGCTGCTTTCATCCTCTGGTTACTGTTCAACCCGGCTCAGAGGGGAATGTTGACATTTGTAGAACAGGGAAGTGGAGTTAGAGAGGATATGAATCGACAAAAACAGCCAGGTAATACTGTCAAAGAAAGCTGGCTGAGCTTTACTGAAGTTAAGCATTTAGGAATAAAGTGTAATATGACAGAAACAGGAGAGAATATATAAGTGAGTCTTTCTGAAACATGAAATGACAGCTCATTTTTTATTCTGTATATGTATGTATATATATATATATATATTTATGTATGTATTTTTATTCTTTGGGACAGTGAGAAATGGCATTTCGGAAATTGATAATAAACATGACTTGGACTTTGACTTGGCGTGTGTGTGTGAGTAAAAGGGTGTGTGACTGGTCTTCAGGAAATGACTGCCTGTGAGTGTTTGTCTTGTAATAAAGACATGGTGCAGCAGCAGTGTGTGCATTATGTTGCTGCAGGAGTGTGTTTACCTATGGCTGAGATGGCAGCCTGGGCGGTGTCAGTGTTCACGTCGGTGCAGTACCCTCTCAGCTCGTCCAGTATCATTGAAACATTGTCATCATTCACCAGCTCCACCAGCACCTGCAAACACAAACAGCTTCAGTTCACTGACAGCACCCAGTACTGATCTGAATATACTGGGCAGTGAGTGTGGATACCATTAAAGGGTACCCAGCACTTCAGTATCCGCCACTATTCCGATTAGGAAAACTAATCATGTCTAATTCAACAGTGTGTACAGTATGAGTTAACATGTACAAGTGTGTGGTTTATTTTAAAGGGAAAGAAATACATTCAAAAACATAAACACAAAAGGATTTTGTAAGGAGGTTTATATAAGAGGGCTTAATTGCAAGTGCCAACTGTGCACACTTAATCCCACTAAACTCTTGTTTCAGTTCACCATGTAACTCCATTTAGAAAAAACACCTTATGGCAGCACAGGTGTGGTGAGAGAAGACAAACAACATAATATAAAAGAAAACAATAAAGGGGTTACATTTAAGCTGCAGTTGTTTTTGTCACTATATCCTAACAGTGGTGCATGACACATATAATCTGTGGAGAAAAAACAAATCTCTATCCTCCTCAGGCTTTGGGAGTAACGGATTACATGTTACAGGTTCAAGTTATAAGGATACAAGAAAAAGGTAACTATTTCCTTACAGTCACATCAAAAAGACATAATCAGATTCCTGGTACATTGTTTAAAAGTGGGGATTACTAGCAGGATTACAATGTTATGTTTCGATTTATGATAGGGAGACGTACCGTCTGGATTTTCCTTTTGGTTTTTATTTAGGCTACTTTCATTGAATTTGTTTATTTTTAAATGCAGTAGGTTGATCACCTGATCAGTGATCTATCAAGGAAAGAAAACTGTGTTTGCTTTGAATGAATGTGTTAATCTAAAACAGCATTTGTAAACTATACTATTCTGAAAGCCTAGAGGACACATTTTTGATACTAAATATCTTGGTTTCTTATTTTCTAAGGTCACTTTGTTCTGTTGTAAAAAACATCTTATTGATATCCCTTTTCTTCTTTATTTACTGCATTTGATATTGAGTTAATCCAAAAGTAACGGAAAGTAATCAGGATACATTTATTTTATATTGTGATGCTCAGATTAACGGAATACATTTTTTAAGTAACCCTCCCAACCCTGATCCTCCTAGACTCATAAAAGCATATGGAAAATGATGATGCATTTGGGTGAAAACAGCCAATCAGAGGCAAGGAGCCTCTACTGAAGAAAGGGGTTAAACTAGGTCACATATGAATGAGGATTCTGTTACCTACTTCTGACCTAAAATGTTTCAATGTGCTCTCTAGCTGTAGAACATGGACATGTTGAACATGTGTTCTGTTCCTTTAAGAACTATCTGACTGTTGAAAAGCAACACTGAGGCCCAATCCCAAACCACTCCCTCGACCCTACCCCTCCGTGACGGAGTGAACTCCGTCTGTAGCCACACTCGCAGCTCAACGAGGCTCCCTCCTGTCAGATGGAGGGAGTAAATACAGCGGCAAGCTTTGGGACAAACTCCCCTCTCTCCGGCAGAAACAGGAAATGCCGTAACTGTATGTAACAACGGTTTCAAATCAGCATCACTTAGACAAAAAATGTAAATTAATAACTCAAATAAAACTCCAAACATCTTTCATTGTGTTACTTTTTCTGTAAAGCTCTTTTAGTTTTAAACCTGATGTTTATAAGCTTCTTAGTTTTTGCAACAGTCTGTAAATATACACAACTTTATAATAAAATGCACACATTTACCTTTTTCTAGACTAAACACAGGTATGATCCTAAGTTAGAAAAAGATGAGGTTATCATGAGGTTGTTAACATCGCAGTTTATCAGTGGATGTTTGCTGGAACTACTTGTAAACAGCGTGTTTCCTGACGGACACACACAGCGTGACTCCGGTCAGGTAGAGACCGGTCTCCAGTCAGCACCGATGCAGACTCGCTGTTTGAGGGCTTGATAGCCCACTCCCCCTCCACACCTCTCCACACTCGTTGGTTTGGAACAGCACTTAATGAGGAGGACCCTCCGCGCGAACGCGCAAACGGAGGGGTAGTGTGTAGGGGTAGGGTGTAGGGGGCGGTTTGGGATTGGGCCTGAGTCATCACCTGCATCTTCCTCTGCTTGATGTAGGCTGGCTCTGCGTAGCCACAGAAGAAACGCTTGTAGTGCGCCCCCATCAGGCCAGGCAGAGACCGCAGCAGCAGCTAGAGGAAGAACAACACACCTTTTAATTGTCCACATGTACACACGTCCCCCTTACAGGAGATCACCACTGCAGACAGACTAATTATAAGGTGATGTACGCTTCCTTATGTAGCACATTTCAACACAAGGTGATTCAAAGTGCTTTATAAAACACATTAAAAGCATTAGGATTAGATTTGAAAACAGTCGCAAAAAAGCCAAGAATTGTAATTAAGCTAAAATAGAACAGTTTCAGTACAGTGTAAGATATGAATAGTTATTAAATGTAATAAAAGACAGCAGTAAAAGTAAAACATTTAATTTGGAGGAGCCTTTCACAGCATCGGACACAGTTCATGAAACACTAATAAAAAATACTAATACTCATTACAAGTTAAGGTCCTGAATTCAACATGTTGCCTAACTAAAAGTATTAGCATGAAGAAATACTTAAATAAAAAAAGGAAAAGTACTGATACTGCACAATGGTCCATCTTAGAATAATATAAAGTACACAAGTATTATCAGCTAAATTAGTATTCATTTTTGTACAATGATAAGATATTATGGTAATTATATTTTCCTGTTTTATAAAAGCAGCATGGAGCCAATCTTAGATTTCAGAAAATACCTCGCTTAGTTGTAGTAAAGTACGGATGAAGGAAATATGATCCTTTGAGCCTCCACACACACACACACACACACACACACACACACACACACACACACACACACACACACACACACACACACACACACACACACACACACACACACACACACACACACACACACACACACACACACACACACACACACACACACACACACACACACACACACACACACACACTCTGTTGCCCACTCATTTGCTTTTCATGTGTGAACCCCCACCTTCTATGTCTAAAGCGTCAGTAGTTCATCACACTAAAGTCTAAAGTATTACATGCTGCAGTCCTTACACCCCCCCCCCCCACCTCTGCACCTGCCCCCAGTGTTGTAAAGTAACTAAGTACATTTACTCTAGTACTCTTCTTAAGTATAATTTGGAGGGACCTTTAGTTACTTTACAGATGTGGATGAATGATGTGAAATATAACCAAGTGTTAAATCAGACTTTAGTTCCACCTGGAGTAAATCCACAAGCTACCCTGCAGTATACAAAGTCATTCAAACTAGCTGCACCTTTACCAGCTTTGAGAACACTTTCATGATCAATCATTATAAAACATATCATATCTATTATTCTGAAATGGACCAGCTGCACAATGACTACTTTACTTTTGGTACTTTAAGTATATTTTGATGATAATACTTTTCTACTTTTACTTGAGTAACATTTTGAATGCAGGACTTTTACTTGCAACAGAGTATTCCTACACTCTGGTACTTCTACTTTAACTTGTGTACAGGATCGGAGTACTTCTCCCCCACTGACCTGTATGTGGCACAGGGCGGTGAGCCTCATCTCTCTGGAGGGGCTTCCGCAGGCAGTCAGCAGGGGGGCCCGCACTCGCTCCAGGGCCGCCAGCCCGACAGCAGGCAGGGCCGAGCAGAGCCCCAGGAAGAGGCTGAGGGTGGCGGCCATGACGGGGGGGTGGGGGCTGACCAGCGAGGCGTCCAGCAGGGACAGGATGTCAAACAGCTCGTCCTCGGTCTGAGGCCGGTAGCGCTGCAGGACCCTCAGGACCTCACACTGACCCCAGACGTCACACTCCTTCAACCTGGGAACAAACACACACACACACACACACACACACACACACACACACACACACACACACACACACACACACACACACACACACACACACACACACACACACACACACACACACACACACACACACACACACACACACACACACACACACACACACACACACACACACACACACACACACACACACATACATACACACACACACCTCAAATCAACACCGGGCAGACAATTTATCTTGGAAACATGTAGATTAATCAGAAATAAAAAGACAGCAAGCTCCCTACCAATCATCCTGCCAATGTTAGGCAGCATTTGTTTAACTTCGTATTCCTGAAGTCACAGAAAAATGTAAAAAAGGTAAAACCTTTTTGGTTAAAAGTCATTATTTATCCAAGTGAAGCATGAATAAATGCTATCTCTTTTCTACGGTTTGACACCGCTGTTATTGGTGGTGGTGGTGGGCTGGAGCTGATCTTCACATCAGGATCCCTCTGTGCTGAACCCAGAATGTGACTAAAGACGGTTTTAAACATCACACTATCCATTTGTGAGCTGTTACAGATGATATTTACAGTATTTGAGTAAATATACCAATACCTCTGTCTGTTTATCATCCTGGTATCATCTTAGTGTATTTCAGGTTTTCCTGGTAAAACTGCCTTAGAGGGAAGTGTATCAGGAAGTACTGGGAAGCCATGTGAAGTACTGCTTTAGCTCAGAACAAACACAGGACAGAAAATGTCAACAAATTCTATTTCCGTAAAGAAGAAAGAAATGTTTTACTTAGTGGCACACAAACAAGGAAATTACAATAATAATAATATAATATAAAGATACTCTCCATTATGCAACATGGTAAAGTTTAAGCTGGCAGCCTGTCGCAGCAGCTCCTAGTGTTTAACCCAGGGGTACTCAAATACAAATCTTAAAGGTCCAAACATTTTTTTTCAATAAGACAAAGGTCCGTTTATTACGGTCATTCAAACTTTTAAACAATTGCAACAAGATTCTTAACACGAGGTTGCAAAAACAAAAATAATCTGTATGCAGCAGTTTTCATTGTTATTGGTTCTGTGCTTGATCCCTCAGAGTCGCAGAGCTGCACAGTTATGAATAAAGGCAGCTGCACCCTCTTTCATTCAGCATTCCCATTATTGCTTTATAAATGTCTTGCCCCCTTGTGTGTCCACTGAGGTTCGTCAGGCCCAACACATCTTCAACAAACTCCCCCTTTGCCTCATCATAAAAACTCACAAACACCAGCAACTGAGCATTGTCAGTGGTGTCAGTGGACTCATCCACAGCTAAGGAAATGCACTGGGCATTTTTTATTCCATCACAAAGCTGATTCATCAAATCCCCAGCCAGTATTTATGTTCTTCTGGTTGCTGTGGAATCTGAGAGGGGGATTTGCTTGATTTGACCTGTTATTTCCTCTTTTTGTTTGCCTTCAAACATGGTCTCCATCACTTCAGTCATGCATTCTTTTATACTTCAGTTATTATCCAGTGGAATGTCCTTACCTACTGGCCTAGTTAAATCAAAGTGGTTTTGATTCAATGCTGAGTACAGCCAAACTTGACAGTCTCTTCTCTGTCATTGTAGAACGCAAATACCTCATTCCTTCAGTACTTGGGTCCGAATGCTTCTCGTTTTGCGCCGTACCGTTCAAATGAAATCGCCGCCAATCATATTTCCACGCTCGCGCCAGGGCCGGGGGAGGGGTTACAAAACGTGCGTCTTGTGCTGCATTCACTTACACTTGACATTAGAGACTTTCTCTCATAAATATCCGATGAGCCACAACTTTTCTTTCAAAACAAAGCTGCCAACTGGGGTGGCAGCTGGGGTGGCAAGGCCTATTTTTAGGGCGGCAGTTGCCACCCCGGTAGGTGAAGCTAGGCTACTAGCTACAGTACAGATGCAACTAGATGAGCTGTTAACTCTCGCTCTGACTTTTTTTTTTTTAAACACACACGCATTTTTCCCACCCGCATTCCGCGAAGACCCGCCCTACTGTGCCTCTGATTCGCAGACTGTTGGTGGGGGAAAAGAACGCTGACGGGATGCTGAATGTGATGCGTTGACAGACACACACAGACAGTGGAACAGTCGTACATGCAGAGCGCTGTTTGCAGTGGACATAGCGGAGAATGTTGACTCGTTGCGTTGTGGCGATGTCTCGCAGATAACACAGATAATACAGATAATACATATGAAAAGTATAATTTGCTCAGAGTCCAGAGACAGTTGTGGTTCGGTCCGGATCCGGACCGGAGTCCGGACTTTGAGGATGCCTGGTTTAACCTATAACATTTTTATTTCATTAATATTCCATCCATTGCACACTTAATGTAAATAATATCCTACTTTGAAATTGTGTAAGCTGTAATGTGGCACTTCATAGTGTTTATTTGTCAGTGAGTCTAGAGATTTTTATCTTTCATGTTCCACTTTTTAAATTTTTTAGTTCTGTTTTATTTTTCTATTTTGAGATTTTTACGTTTGTTTATTTTCTAGTCTTTTTTTTCTTTGAATGACGTGCATTGCCTTTGTTTTAACAAGCTGCTGTAATGAAAACATTTCCCAATTTAGGATCAGTATATCCTACCTTATTGAGCACAACTCTTGCATATCTTGGACCAGGTGATATCATCATGTGTGTGCTGTTTGTAGCAGCAGTGCCATAGACCTGTGTCCTGGCATCACTCAAATACAATGCTGTCTACACATGACTAACACTTTAATAGCTGTCATGTTCTCACCTGTTGAGCAGGTGATGGGTGATGGGTTTGTTAATAGCCACCCCCCCCTCCTCCTTCAGGATCTCCTCCAGAGCTCGGAGACAGTTCACCATCACCACGGGGTCCGGGTCCCTCAGCAGGGTGTACAGCTCGTTCACCACCGCGGCGTCTGGAAGAGTGAAAGAGAACAGGGCTGAGGACATGTTGGGTGTTGAGTGTTGACCTGAGAGAGCTGAAGTTACCTACTGTAACTCCAGCTTCTATATAGTATAGGCGTAGCCCTCTAAGGCTATCGCTATTGGGTAATTGGCCCCACCTTCTGACTCACTTCCGGTATAAATAGGAAGGAGGCCCGACAGTCTGCTCCCACACAAACAGCTTTTCTTCAGCTACTCGTGGAGCCAGTGGGGCCCAGAACTATTGGCGCATTTCCACTACAGCGCGTGCACGGCCCGTTTTTGGTTGCGTTTCCACTTGGCGTAGTACCGGCAAGCGGGTACTATTTCACAGTTTTTCTGGCCCCATAAAATCGAGGTTCTTAGCGGGCCAACAACCAGGCTGAGTCGGGCTGAGTATGCTAAACTAGAGAGAGAGAATCGCTGGCAAGGGGGCTACAACTACAACAAAATGAACATATTTGACCGTGATTTAATTGTAATACACGTTTCAAAATTATGCCGAAGTAACAACATACTGATACCGGTTAGTAAAGGCAAAAAACCTTTTAAAATGCGTGTTTTCTGAATGGAGATCGGCTAAGCTAACGCAGTATATGCTCCGACCGTCCACACTCACAACAACGGCCTATACAGACATAAATAAACCAGCGACTGTATTCTCCATGACACAGACAGTCTGTGGTTTGTACTTGTTTAACTTTTGTCTAGTTTCTGAACAGATATGAGGAGCTGTGAGCTTGAGTGCTAACAGCTAATGGCTGATGTTGTTTTTCTGTGGTTCACATTGAAGATGACGTCACGGCTCCGCCTACACTGCGTTAGTTACTGCCCCAGCTACTGAACTGTAATGGAAACGCAGCATAAAGTGATCATGGCCTAACAATGCCTAACAAGGCCTAACTATACCGTACTAAGCCGAGCGAGGCCCTGCAATGGAAATGCGCCATTAGAGGGCTACGCCTATACTCATAGAAGCTGGAGTTACAGTAGGTAACTTCAGTTCTATTTCGCATAGGCTTCGCCCTCTAAGGCTATCGCTATTGGGTTAAGGGCGAAGCAAGATGTAGTCTGCGCCCCACTGGGTCCGCCCCCTGTACCAGAAGCACAGACACACCTACTCAAATAATAACCCATGTCTATTGCGCCATGCGTAATAGCGCATCACAGTCCCTGGAAATATAGCATAAAAACATGAATATTCTCCATGAGGGGACGAAGGCTGGGAACAATACAAACCTGCCGCTGTGAAAAAGTAGAGACGAAGGTCACACTTTGTCCAGTGATAAAAGAGGGGGGGGAAAGCAGCTCTCTGCGTAACGACAGGCAGGAGAGAGGCGCACAGCTGGATCCCTGACATCACTCACTCTGACAAGACACTCAGTAGCCTACAGAGTGTGTCAGAGAGGAATGGGAGACATCCCTCAATAAAAAATGAATAAACGAACAGGGGGAAGACCAAGAAGCAGCAGTGCAAATGTCTTCCCACTAGGCGCGTTCACACCGGAGTACTTTTCCCACAATAGTTCATCAGAACTACGATATATTTGCGTTCACACCAAAAAGCCCCAGGAACTAAAGTAGTTCAAATTAGTTCATCTGACCCGCTTTTCAGTCCCTGCTAGAGAGCAGGGACTGTCGTGGGAGAAAATAGTTCATACGTCTGATTGGCTGTGCGGAATGCAAACCACGCCTTTTGACTCTGAATTTTTTTTTGTAAGCGGCCATTGTATTTGCTCACTTCGGGCAGCGCACACGAAGAGATTACTTTTGTGAAAGCAGTTATTATAGCAACACTAAATAAATCATCGGAGCGGTGGAGTGATGAGGATGTGTCGGCGCTTCTGGCGATTTACTCGGAGGATGCGAAGCGCCGCATTCAGAAGCTTCTACTGAATGCAGTTTCCGTGGCTCAGCAAAGTTAGCAGACCTGGCAAAGTCATGTCGGGACGACTACGAAGGTAAAATAAAATACATGCACTGCACTGTTTTAATCTGCACAATACTGGTCTTAGATGTACTTTTATTTGCTCAGTAGATCGAGCTAGCCATGCTAGAACTTGCTATCATAGGTCCAAGCTGGCTAACAACATCTAGCTAGCTAGCTATTCTCAGCCGTGCCAGCTATGAACACGTTTTGACTTGTGAATAAGTGTGCAATGTTCTGTAATTTGCTTCACTAACTCATGGCACTAATCGTGTGTTTCAGGCGAGGTGTTTCTCTCTGGATTAGAAACTAGTTTTCCCCTCCGGGATAAAACGATAATATAACGTTAGCAATTAGCATGCTAGCTGGACATAATGCTACCTCTAACAATACATTGTAGTTGCTATAATTTCAAGTCATTTGCAACATTCATTCTACATGTTAATGGTAAAAGCTTAAACAGTTGATTACCTACATGCCACAAAGACTGATGTTCTAATATTTTTGCACATTTAAGTAGAAATGTAATTGAAATTCTATTTATTTTTCCTTTTTTTTATTGATTGTTATAATTGTACTCAGCCATGTTATGTTAGATGTCAATCCACTTCCACTGTAACTACTCTGGCCTTGAAAGAAGGTTACACATCTAACTGATGTCCACTAATCCCTATAAAACAAAGTTCAAGCATACATTAAGCACAAAACAATAAATAAGGGCACTTTATTTGATATTATTTGATCCTTTCTTATCTTCTACTTTACACCTGCATTTTGTACACTGTCCCTGCCTGCACCATGTCCAATGTTGTCTCTGTTGACAACCTACTTATTTCTCCTTAGGAAAGCGGGCACGGGTTGACAGCTTCCTTGACACCATCATGGCGATGGACCGCCGTGCCATGGTCAGCAAGGAGAATGAGGACCTGCGTGCCAAGGAGATGCACGACGAACGGCTGCTGCATTCACACAAGGCCCAGGAATCGGACGACCAGCTGCTCATGGTGATGCAGCGCCATGCTGACTCGGCCGTGCGCCAGGTGGAGGTGTCGGCGCACCAGGTGGAGCAACAAAATACCTTTCAGGCTGGGCTTCTGGCAGTGCAAAGCGAGCTGATTAAATCCAACAGGCCTTCAATAAAAAAATAAAGAAATACTTGTCGTCGTTGATAAACTGTACAATGACTTGTTGGGAGGCGTGTGGTGCAGTGGTCTCGTGCGTTGGTGTTCGGATCAGGGGAGCACAGGTTCAAACCCCACTGCAGTCAGCATGTCGTTGTGTCCCTGGGCAAGACACTTCATCCCAAATTGCCTACACCTGGGACAGTTAATGTTGTATTATTGTGATTATATATATATGCCACTGTTATTAATACTGACACTTCACTTTGCACTAAGGTGTGTCTGCTGCTGAGCCTACATATTGTTATTATATTGTTATTATATATATATATATATATATGTTTTGATACTACTGAGACTTTATTTGATATTGAAAATGTTAACTTCTATTTACATGCATACGACACACCTGGGACAGCGTGATGCTGTTATTGATATTGTCTTGAGTGCAATAAAAGAGAACCTACGTGGCGATTAAACGGAGCCTGTATCTTACATTTTTCATTACATTTCCTGTAACTAAGCTTGCTTATTTCTCCTCTGACACTTTATCTTTACAGTGACCTGTGTAGCATCCTATACATCACATGTAAGTGATTATTCTGATACCATCATGTTTCATCGGTTATAAACTGGCGAAGCTTTATTTATTGTGGCTTTCAAAAAGATCATTTCATTGTATTTCAAAATGGCGTCCAACACAAGCACTATTTATTTATAGAAAGAGAAATGGTTAAGTTTGTTATTACCAGTGTTGTGAGTTCAATATTTTTTATTAATTATAGTAAGGGAACATCTTAGGAGTTAGTGTAGTGAGTTTCAGAGCAGTGTAATAATTATTTGACCTAAAACTAAATGTTTTTATGAACATGACATGGGGATTTGCTAACTTTTGATTTCCCCCATTTTACACGACACTATGGGCCACAACTAACACGTAGGTTTCTGTAGGGTTCATGGCAGACGGATGCAGTTGCTCTCAGGAGGATATATAATAAAGGTGTGTTAGCTGCTTAGCCTATTTAGTGTGCATACGACACACCTGGCACAGTTTATTCATTTCACACGTAGCGTAGCGCGTGCATGTCGTCGTCCAATCCTTTTGTCAATCCTTCTTAACCGCCTTCGCTTCCGAATCAGCATTGCTATTGCATTTGACTGGTCGACGATCTGTATTTGTGTTTGCTTAAATAACTCAGACGAAGCTCATGTCTGAGGTCGGAAGGTAAACAGACGCCTCATTTACAGCAAGTGGGCGCGGGAGGTTTTTCTTCTTCTTTTTCTCTCGGTTTTTTGGCGGATTGCAACTTTAAGGTGCATACCGCCACCTACTGTACTCGCCGTGAAGTTGTTTGCGGCCTGCCAGTAAACCCAAAGCAGAAGAAGAAGCGACGTCAGCGGTTCATTTGCCTAATCCACCCCCAGGAACTCATTTTGGTGTGAACGCGATCTGCTTTAGTTCATCAGAACTAAAAGAGCTCTCGTGAACTAAAGTTCTCATGAACTATTGTGGGAAAAGTACTTGGTGTGAACGCGCCTAATGAAATTCCTCCGTGCAAGGCCGTAGAGCAGTGATTCTCAAATGGGGGTACGCGGACCCCTAGGGGTACGTGGGGGTACTGCAGGGGGTACGCGAGAGAAAACAATAAAAAAGGTTAATAAAAAAAATGCTTTTTTGCTTATGCTTGGTACAACTTGTATTTGCCGTACTCGCCATTAACTGTTATTGCTCAGGTTATTCTCGCACCCCCTCCGACGTAAGTGTGAAGTATTGGTACTTCGGCAGCCGAATGGGGCCAGCTAGAACCGGTTTTCGGTACTTAGAGCCGGCTCCGCTGCGGTGGAAACAGGAAGAACCAGAGCTAAATCAGGCTCTAGCCCGGAACCAGTTGCAATAGTATATTATAACAAATAGACATTTCAATGGAATCGTGGTTAAAACGTA